CTACCTGATGGATGAAGCTGTCCTTCAGTCTGCTGGTCCTGGCCTGGAGACTCAGCAGTCTCCTCACTGATGGCAGCAGACTGAAGAAGCTGTGTGTCGGGTGGGTGGGATCACCCGCAATGCAGAGGGGGAGTAGAGTGCAGTCTCGGGAGTACCCCCCGGCCTGCGAGGGGGACCAGGCCTGGATTTTATTTTGTGTTTTGGTTTTGTTTGTGCTATTTTGTGTTTGTTTATTTTATTAAAGTTTTGTTTAAATGTTCGCCGGTTCCCGCCTCCTTCTTCCCGAACTACGAACGTTGTTACATGCTGCTTCAAATTTTTGGTGATAACCCTGATACTTTTAGAGACTGTTTTATTCTTACCCTTAATTTTTCGAAAAGTCTATTTAGTAAAAACTCGATAGTACAGTCTGCAATATATATTTATATATGTTGATGTGCATGCATAAGCCTTTATGTAAATAGGCTGCATGCTGCGTTCGTCCAATCAGTGCCACTGACAATACAAACAATAAATGCAGTTTTGACGCTCTTTGATGCAGCACGAGCGACAGATCGCTGTATAAACGCCTCAGTTCAAACGGCAGTGTGATCGTCTCTTCCTCTTTACTACTAGTTTTAACGCAAAATAAACATGAATGAACATCTCACGCCTCATGTAATCGCTCAAGCAGTATTTCAACCGCGGAAAGACGGCAATAAAACAGCTTGTAAACAAAATGTCACGTAGCATTTAATTTGACACAGGCAGTCATCAGTGTCCACAGCTCGTTAGTGCGCTATAAATGAAGTCTAGAGAAGAGCATTTCACCAAATATTAGACTATTATATTTTACTTTACCTGTTAGTGATGTCTTAATTATTTAATGTTTAAATAAATCTAAATAGAATATTTATAATTCAAAAGTTAAATTAAAAACTGCATTATGTGCAATTTAGATGTTTGCATACATTTCCTTTAAGTTGAGTGTTGCTTGTTATATTTAACCCTCATGTAATTGCTCAAGCAGTGTTTCAACCGCGGAAAGACGGCAATAAAACAGCTTGTAAATAAAATGTCACGTAGCATTTAATTTGACGCAGGCAGTCATCAGTGTCCACAGCTCGTTAGTGCGCTATAAATGAAGTCTAGAGAAGAGCATTTCACCAAATATTAGACTATTATATTTTACTTTACCTGTTAGTGATGTCTTAATTATTTAATGTTTAAATAAATCTAAATAGAATATTTATAATTCAAAAGTTAAATTAAAAACTGCATTATGTGCAATTTAGATGTTTGCATACATTTCCTTTAAGTTGAGTGTTGCTTGTTATATTTAAAAATAAATAGTAATTAAATTTAAGTTTGGGCTCTTATAGTAGGCCTAATGTAAAAGGGCTCACTATAGTTCAAAGCATAAGTCGAGGTAGATTTTTATCCCTAAGACATTTTTTATTATAACTGAGTTTACTTAAAGAAAGAGCAATTTGTTAATTAAACCACTGTTTAATAATAATAAAAAAAAAAAGTTTAGTTTTTTCCCCTGCTGTACCGAAACATGACATAAAAACCGAGGTAGAGATTACGGTTTATAAAGTTGTAAATATAGATATTTTTCTTACACAAACGCATCGATTCACTTCAAAAGGCCTTTATTAACCCCCCGGAGCCGTGTGGAGCACTTTTTATGATGGATATGTAAGGTTCATTCAATTAGCCCAATGAAGGTATCCAACGGTGGCTGAAGGTTTCCTGCGCGTTCAGTCTTTAAGGTGCCCAAATAATTCAGTTTCTAATAGTTAATTCTAATCTGTCTGCATGTTATTATGACCTCGAATTTAGGTTGAAATGCAAATTGGTTGTCTGTCCATTACTAATTCTTCTTCTTCTGACATTTGATTATTCTAGTTAACTCTTTACTTTATATTTTACTCATAATAAATGTATTATGCCGATTACATTGTCAATTCAGAGATATCAAATCAAATCAATACAAGACATCAAATTCTCAAAGATAAATCTAGGAGTAAAAGATGCATACCTGACTTAAAAAAAAAAACAGTGTGGAGTCTATGGTCACACTCCAGACTACAGGCTCATCTGACTACAGAAGCGCGCTGATATTCTCGCAACAGTTCCTTAAGTACTCAGACCAAGACAAACATCCTCCAAATGGAGACAGGAATTTGCATTGATCAAGGCCTAGACGTGGAGAGTTTACACCTTTTGGGGACAGATGGTAATTTGCATGAAAGACACTGGGAAAGGACAAAATATCTCTAAACTCTTAGGATCTTTATCACCTTCTTAGTCTGCTTCATGTAAGATTGAGACCATTGTACCAGTCTCACTGAGACAATTCAAACAATGCCAAAACATGACTGTGAATATCACTTGCATTCATGTTGAACATTATATTATGCTACTGACCATTCTGAATGAAGGGAAGGATGGGGGAGGGGGAAAGGAACAAATAGGGCCTTTCGCACCGCAGGAACCTTTTCATAGTACCAGAACTAATTGTGGAATTACCCACTTTTTGGCGTTTTCGCACCGCCGGAACTGGGTGCGATTTTAGTACCAGACTGCCTTTTTCGAGAACCAAATTAGCTCCTACTCCGGAGCAGGGTCTAACCAGCACAACTGGTACTAATCGTGACGCAAGTAGACATTGATTGGCCAAACGCGTATGAAAACGCCCTCACCCGTTAAAAATAAATAGTAATTAAATTTAAGTTTGGGCTCTTATAGTAGGCCTAATGTAAAAGGGCTCACTATAGTTCAAAGCATAAGTCGAGGTAGATTTTTATCCCTAAGAATTTTTTTATTATAACTGAGTTTACTTAAAGAAAGAGCAATTTGTTAATTAAACCACTGTTTAATAATAAAAAAAAAAAAAAGTTTAGTTTTTTCCCCTGCTGTACCGAAACATGACATAAAAACCGAGGTAGAGATTACGGTTTATAAAGTTGTAAATATAGATATTTTTCTTACACAAACGCATCGATTCACTTCAAAAGGCCTTTATTAACCCCCCGGAGCCGTGTGGAGCACTTTTTATGATGGATATGTAAGGTTCATTCAATTAGCCCAATGAAGGTATCCAACGGTGGCTGAAGGTTTCCTGCGCGTTCAGTCTTTAAGGTGCCCAAATAATTCAGTTTCTAATAGTTAATTCTAATCTGTCTGCATGTTATTATGACCTCGAATTTAGGTTGAAATGCAAATTGGTTGTCTGTCCATTACTAATTCTTCTTCTTCTGACATTTGATTATTCTAGTTAACTCTTTACTTTATATTTTACTCATAATAAATGTATTATGCCGATTACATTGTCAATTCAGAGATATCAAATCAAATCAATACAAGACATCAAATTCTCAAAGATAAATCTAGGAGTAAAAGATGCATACCTGACTTAAAAAAAAAAAACAGTGTGGAGTCTATGGTCACACTCCAGACTACAGGCTCATCTGACTACAGAAGCGCGCTGATATTCTCGCAACAGTTCCTTAAGTACTCAGACCAAGACAAACATCCTCCAAATGGAGACAGGAATTTGCATTGATCAAGGCCTAGACGTGGAGAGTTTACACCTTTTGGGGACAGATGGTAATTTGCATGAAAGACACTGGGAAAGGACAAAATATCTCTAAACTCTTAGGATCTTTATCACCTTCTTAGTCTGCTTCATGTAAGATTGAGACCATTGTACCAGTCTCACTGAGACAATTCAAACAATGCCAAAACATGACTGTGAATATCACTTGCATTCATGTTGAACATTATATTATGCTACTGACCATTCTGAATGAAGGGAAGGATGGGGGAGGGGGAAAGGAACAAATAGGGCCTTTCGCACCGCAGGAACCTTTTCATAGTACCAGAACTAATTGTGGAATTACCCACTTTTTGGCGTTTTCGCACCGCCGGAACTGGGTGCGATTTTAGTACCCTTCTTCTGACATTTGATTATTCTAGTTAACTCTTTACTTTGTATTTTACTCATAATAAATGTATTATGCCGATTACATTGTCAATTCAGAGATATCAAATCAAATCAATACAAGACATCAAATTCTCAAAGATAAATCTAGGAGTAAAAGATGCATACCTGACTTAAAAAAAAAAACAGTGTGGAGTCTATGGTCACACTCCAGACTACAGGCTCATCTGACTACAGAAGCGCGCTGATATTCTCGCAACAGTTCCTTAAGTACTCAGACCAAGACAAACATCCTCCAAATGGAGACAGGAATTTGCATTGATCAAGGCCTAGACGTGGAGAGTTTACACCTTTTGGGGACAGATGGTAATTTGCATGAAAGACACTGGGAAAGGACAAAATATCTCTACATGTCCACTGTGAAACCCGCGAGACATAACAAAAACACAGCTCCGATCACAGCGTCCTCCATCCTCCTGTTGTTAATGTTGTTCTTCTTTGTTTCTGTTGTTGAACGCCGCGCACAAATGACGTCGCTGTCGACCGGCTTACGTCACGTCCTAGGACACACTCTCAGTGCGAATGCAACCCTTTAAATGGTACTGGGAAATAGTTCGTGCAAAATCATCCCAGTACTTTAGTACCGTACATTTAGTTCTGGAACTAAAGCGGTGCGAAAGGGCCTAATGTGAGAAAGGACTTTTCCTGCATCTTCTCTCAATGAGATGTGGAAACACATGTCTGTGCATTAATACACTGTGGAAGTCACATACACTTAGGATGGCTTGAAGGTGAGTAAATCGTGGGGCAATTTTCATTTCTGGGTGAACTATCCCTTTAACCACAGGTAAATGATGTGCAATATTAAACGTGACGCAAGATAAACCATGATTCTGTTTACCCTGGGTTTAGTATGACCCTGACTTAACTATTTCAAGTGTGAAAAGCCCTCTTGTGAACAAATTCCACCAACAAAAGATTTTCAAACTTAGAAATCTGATCAAAGCTCAAACACATGCAGAAGTACATGTAAAAGCAGCGGTGTGAATGTGCACAGCTCTGTTGGTCTCACCTGACGTGTTTGCCATGAACGAGCGAGAGCAGGCAGAGCTTCACCATATTCCACGAGGTGCTGTTGTCATAGCGCATCAGGTTCAGTGCCATGGCAACATGCGAGTGACAGTTGTCACAGCAAAGGTTGTGCTGGAGAGAAAACGGAGATAATTTGTCAGAATATAACGAAGTCCCTTTAAGGCAAGTCATATCACATCTTTGAAACGCCTCTCGGGCATGCAAGCGCAGCTCCTATCTCTTTGAACGGGGAAACATCAAATTCTCCAAAACTGTTCGCCAAGCTTACGATTCATTTTGAAATCACCAATCAAATCTGACAACAACTGTTTCATAAATGTAAAAATGCGTATTTTTTCAGGCTAGACCAGCCAATGCGTATGTGCAGTCCTAAGCGCACGTCTCCAGGATACTGACTGTTTCTATAGCAACCAGGACTTCTAAGCAGCAGTGATGCACTGACTTTACCGATTAGCGATTGGCTCTTTTATTCAGAAGGCGGGGCTTCGTTCGATAGAGCGGCCATATTGAGCGTTGCATTTTTCCCCATTCAAAACTATACGAGTGACACGTCTTGGGTATTCTATAGTCTTTGAATATAAGCAGTTTATTTGTATGCATGCTCATTGAAATATATATATATTTTTTAATTCTGGGAAATTAACATAATATTATAAAGAGAAAAAATACATTTACTGTTTTGATTTTCTAAATGTAGTTCATAACTGCACATGAAAACACAAGCAAAATAGGGAAGAAACACACATTACCATTCTCTGTTTGTACTCTTCTGATGCGTTGTGAACTGCTGTGTCCCACGTGTTAGATCCACTGGCATACACTTTACTTACATCTAACATCCAGTACCTGGGAATAAAGCAGATTAATACTGCAGCAAGCACATATGCAGTGAGTGTGAAGCACATGTATCATGAAAAGCACACACTGCAGTTCAACAGGCAAAGTCATTTCTTTTATAACCACTGTTGGAGGACAATAACCATATAAAGCCTGCCATATAACTTCTACAGCCTCTAAATGATCAACACGATCAAGACCTGATCTGAAAAACCCATTGAACACAATCTACCACATGCCTTCTGTCATCTGATTGATGATAGGTTATACTTTTTAGCAAGTAAAAGGCATTTTAGTATAATTGTACAAACCTTCACTTTCAGGTCATGGTTCACATGTATTTTTGCAGTGAAATCTTTACTTTTATAAAGTAAACGTAAGAATAACTTTTATATTGTTCATATTTCAAGATGAACGCCTACTGGAGTATAGCAACTTAGGTTTAACTGATTATCCATACATACTTTTTTAAGAAAAGAAGTCATGTTAAACTGTGAATATGAAATATGATACAGGCTTTTATTTTGAAATATGATCAGGCCCAGGGGAACATTTATTTACATTTCTGTCAATCATCACGGTATTGCATTGCATTATTTGTTTTGCCCCCACAATATAAACTACAGAGCTTTGATCATAAAACTAAGCATTTAAATATCATCTTACTAAGACTTATTATTGGGAGATATAGAGTGAGAACTGATATTTATTATAGGCTATGCATTTTATGTAAGTAGTCTGGTTATACTGTTATAAAGATCTCATTGAATTACATCACAAACTATCAGAATGTCATCATTTTTGGCCATATAAACATCAGCAACTGCAACAAATTGCGTATTTTTCCTCAGTTTGGGCTGCTGAATAAAACTGATGTGTTTTTAATTCCTCCTCGAGTATGAGCTCCATATTCTCACTATATTACACTATATGAGCCATAAAAGCCTGATTTATCAAATATGATACAAAACATAAAACGCATATGCAAACTTAAATGAAATTACAGATGTCACCTGTAAAAACTGGCTTGTGAATCTATATACAGGGGCGGACTTACCCATTAGGCAAAGGTAGGCGACCGCCTTGGGCCCCCAAAAGCCAAGGGCCCCCTAACATGCTTTTCATATAGGATATGCGCATTAAGCGCGGACACGCGAACGGTTGCTGTTTACGGTGTTTATTACCACAACAACCGTCCGAGTCTGTGGCGCCTGCAGGTGTACGGTTGTATGCACTGTGCGTAACATGAGCGCTCAGACTGATCTGAGATTTGCCCCGCAAACATTTCAGCAGTTATTATAGGCCTGTGTGTCACGTATTTCTGTCGACTGAACAGAAATCAATTTCTGTATAGAAATATTATGCCAAATAGAAGCAGAAAATCGTGCTATACGCACTTTCATGAGATCAGGTTAACTTAGCCTACAACAATTAATTTGTAGGCTATTTTACAAATGGGAATACAACGCTACCCGTAAAATTTATAGTGAAAAGTACTTTAAAAGTGTCTGGAATGCAGTAAAGTAATTTTAAAGCTGTTTTTTAAAACATTTGCTGCGTGGATAAAAAATTTAAATAATTAACATATCATACAAAATTGCGTTGCAGCAAATCCTTTACATTTTAAGGTATTCAGAACAGAGCAACATACAAATCAGAAAAAGCAGCTATACAATTATAGGACAAAGTTTTACATATATGCCATTATAATTAGTGACATCTGTAATTTCATTGACAATTGCATACTTTCTAGTACCCCAGCTTAATATAGAGACTTGCTATAAGTAAGTCATTCATTGAAGTAAACACTGTGGCATCGCTTTATTTTGATCATGCTGATCAACACAAAACCACAGCACTGACTCACTTCGTTGGTCTTCCAAACGCCATGTTGTCCTCCTGCAAGAGCAGAGAAACAGACACTTAAACTCTGTATGTGTACAATGTGATTTTTTTTTTTAAACAATTCATTCATAACATATCCCTCTTTCCTGACAGATATCATTGTGAATAAACACCTCTCTCTGTGGGAGCCAATAAGCCTGGGTGGTCTATGTTACCAGCAGCTATCCATAAGCTGTCACTCATCTCAAGTATGTGCACTGAAATCGGCCATCTTTGCTCACGGTGGCTCAGCGCTGCTGCCAGGTCATGTGACTAATGACTGTAGCCCTGCAGTTGACATCATGATGACAGCACAAGAACACACACAAGTGCCTTCAACAGCAACTGTGACAAACTCTGTTTCAGTACTCGCAAGCCTATTTCACGCTTTAAAGAGCACTACAAAATTAAACAACACCTACGATAATACAATACAAAAATATTGCTTGCAAAATATTTTTTGTCAGAATTCATAGGATACATTTTACACATAGATACCATGTTTTTTTTCACTTAAAATTAGTTAAAAAACAAGTTCAATAAAATCTTAATGCCAGGGCATTAAGTGAATGCAGTCTTATGCAGCGTTGCTTCTCAATAATATGTATATTCTATTAAGTATATTACATAAACTGGAAAACAAACTACTTAAAGGGAAAGTTCTGTCATAATTTACTCAGCCTCATGTCAATAATCAGCAAATGTTAATAATAATCCACTGCAGATATAGGTCTATTATCAAGGATTTCCCAAAACCCTTAATCTGAACTGACCTCAACCCACATCGGCCTGCTCATGAGACGTGCTTCAGTCCCGTCAGCCACAAGCGGAGTCAAGTGCAGCCGATTGTGGTGCACTTGAGTGTGTGCTGGCCCGTATCACCGCAGGTCAAATAACCCCATCCTCTCACGTTACCGGCCCTGCTCTACCCAACACATTTCACTTTTGCTCCTGTCTGACAGAGATCTGTTCAAAGGATAATGTCCGAACCTGAAGAGAACTGCTGTGGAGCTTTCGTACCATCATAACTTTGCTTTTGTTTGAACAGCTTGTCTGAATTTGTACAGGATTCTTACGCGCAAGCGGTTGGATCCTCCATTTAATATCAGGTGCATTATGAGATAGAGTTGCCCTGACTGCGAACTCGTGGATACTACCATGTATTTTGAACAAGAAGATCTCCAGAACTCTGGAAGCGGCTGAGAACAAGGAGGGCTAGCTTTCACCACACGCCTTTCTGCACAGGTATAGTTTTTTTTCGGAAACAACAGGATGAGCTCGTACAGGGTCACCGAGGAAGCTGGTGGCGAACGCTGAACTTTCCATTGATTTCTAGTGAAAAAGATCCATTGCTTATGAACAGAACTTCGCACCAAATTATAGAGACCTTTATCTAGAGGAACGTTCTTAACTGAAACCAGCCTTTATGTCAACAAAAGGTTTGACATTGTTGAGGTCAGACAGGAGGAAAGTCCAGCCCAGTCTACACAGGTCGTTTATAACACAGCTCAGGCGTCTCACAGTAACAAGCCTCCATGGGCTTCTAACAAGCTCATTGTTGCCAGATTGAAAGAGATCCAAACCATCCAATGGTAGATTTAAACCTGCACAGTTTGGAAACATTCCCAGTGTTACACAGTTTATGCAATCTGGCAACCGTGAGCATGAGTTGTCTCTCCACTGTGAAAAGCTGCTGCAAAAGATGTTCAGTGATACTCAACGATGCTTAAATAAAGGTTTAATATAGGTGCTTCTTACATTTTGAGGACAAACCTTCTGAGTGACGAATTTCTCAGTGTGTGCTTGCTCTGAAAGACAGAGGTGACGTGCAACGTGCATTTAACCCTTTAAATAACCAATCGTGCATGGTCTCATGAATTTTTGGGCAGACAGATGAAGACTGTAGCTTGAATACGCCATAACCTATTTTAGCTAGATTATAATAATGCATGTACATGTACTTACTGAGACAAAGTATGGACCTGCAAAATCACGGATCACTCCAGAGGAGGTGCAGATGCCCATGTGGCCAATGAATGGAAACAGCCATCTGAAAGAATTAAACAAATAACTGCTATGAACGAAATCTACAATGACACGCGACATTCTGTCTTAAGATTTGATTTTGCCGCAAACAAGAATGTGATCAATATGTTCATCCATTTTCCAGGAAGAAAAATGTTAAATGCTTCTATTTATTTTCGTTGTCAATATGCATATCTGCTGAAAGTTTATTTTATAACTTTTTGTTCTTCTTAACTATATCTTTTATTTTTTTATATATTTTTTAATATATTTATTTTAATAGAATTCAACATAACTTTGATTATTAATACAACTTGTACACTGTAAAAAAAAAAATCAAACTTGCGAAAAGTTCTAACAAATGTAAAAAAAGTAGCTTGAACAAAGAGTTTTTAGTTGGAGGAGTCAGTTTATGTTGTGTGAACTGAACAAGAACGCTCTAAACAAGTTGCTAGCAAAAGTTGTTTTGTTTGCCTTACTTAGCTACTCGAGTATTTGTTCACAACATGTCCAAATGTTCTCCCAACTTTCCAAATTAAGTCATCTGAAGAAACATTTTTAAGCTCCCGGCATGCATTGCAACTTGAAAACATTGTGGTAATTATTATAAAAATATTGTCATTGTTTTACATTTTACTGCATTAATGTATGCTCTGCTGACGTCACAAGAAAGTAAACTAAACTAAAATTATTTTGTTACATCATTTTTGCATTGTCTGTAATAACTGCTATTCAATATATATATATTTTTTAATAAAATGTCCATAAATATTTTGTATAAAACCGTTCACAGTTAATAAACAGTTGTTTTGGGGAGGACAGTTAAAAGCATAAGCCTTGATGCTGCATGGAGATGCCCTTTTCAATATCAAACACCTGGCCAAAATCCAGCTTCCCCTGCTGATTCATATTCATGTTATTTTGGCTTTGGAATTGAAACAAACAGGCCGACAGAACCGGCAATCCAAAGGACAACCAGATAAGAAAGCGGATTAGACACTAGACCAAAATTCCTGCCAAAATGATTAAAAAATGATTATCAGCAGAGCTCTCAAGGGTGCAATATGAATAACAGTATGGATTTCCTGGATAAAACAGCCTTGGTGGAGTGTGTGAAGTGGAGTAGGGCATACGCCGGCACCCCAGATATGCTCCTGTGTGCATATTTATCACCGAGTGTCCTACAGAGCAAGCCGCCGACCCAAATACAGGAGAAGACGACAACATGGGGCGAGGAACTCTCACACTGAGACAATCTGCAGTGGAGGACACCAGGAGACTGGTCTAAGATCAGCTGTAATCAGATTCATCTCAGCATACGTGATTATCAGAAGGAGTTTGGATTCTGATCCCAGACCAGAATATAGCCTAATGGTTGATGTTAGTGAACTCAAGCTGCAACCCAGGACAAATGCATCAAAGATTCAACGAAGGTGTCGTGTTTGCAACTAATGGTCATAGATTATAATGTACATTATGGAATTACTGCTATGCATGTATTTACTTAAAAGTATTAAAACCTTATACTATGCAATAACCTTATACTTATTTATCACCCTAAATCCTAGTACATCCCTACAACTTTATTTTATTCTATTCCTATTCTATCTATAGCACACCTGTACATACAATTTATTCTTTTTTTGTAGTTTATATTTATGCATGTGTATTTTATTCACATCTTATTTTTATTATCATCGGTGTGTTGTTGTTGTGTCCGTGTACTGGAAGCTTGTGACACTATAACAAATTCCTTGTATGTGCAAACATACTTGGCAATAAAGCTCTTTCTGATTCTGATTCTAAAAGGTACCATGGTACTACAATTATCAAAGTATTACTATGGTATTCTTTCAAATACCCAGGCGTAAATACCACAGTATTAACATGGTAATCATTCAGCACCATGCATCTAAATCTACACTGCAAAAAATGACCGTGAATTTAACGGTAAAAGACTGTAAAAATGCTACAGTAAAAACCTGTTAAAAGGTTAACGGTAAATTCCCCTACTATATACGGTGAAAAACTGTATTGGACATTACATGTATTGGACATTAATTTTAGAATGAATTTTTAACCCACTTCCACATTTTGGAAGTGAAAAAGACCGTATAATTTACAGTGAATAACCGTAAATTGACATTCCCAGAATTCCCTGCGTTACATTTCAAATTTGATGTTTTGTTGTTGAAATAACTGTTTCTTCTTAGTTTTTTCTTATCAGTTTTGTATATTAGGGTTGTGTGTTACACCTAATGTTGTTAGATTAATGTTTATTGCATTATTTCAGTTTCATGTGTGTTACCATGATGGTGTTTAGTGTTTGTGTGAATGACGCTGTGCACCTTCTATATATGTTATTATTTAAAAGCTGCTTGTGATGGGCTTTGGTTCATCATGTGACTTTCTCATCACCTCCTGCATTTGGCAGTTATCAGTGGATTACAAAGCTACAAAACAGATTTCAGTACTTCAATAGGTTGGTATATTAACATTATATCAGTTAATGAAATTACGGCATTTAACTGTAAATTTAAGTTAAAACTGTAAAATGTTGCTACCGTACTTTTTACGATAAAATTCCGGCAAACAGAGCTGCCGGTTTTTTACCATAAATTTTACGAGTTTTTTTTTTTTTTTTTTTACAGTGTATCTAAATACAACCATCACTGTACCATAGTAATTCCACACTACTTTTATGTAAAGAGAAGAGAAAACATTGTAATCACTTTAACCACATCTATAATAATGATATAACGACACAGAGAAATCACTTTCAGTTAACAATAGTTATCGTTATAATTCTTGGTGTGAACAGGCCATGAAAGATTTCCTCCTGATCGTCTCAAATAGCTTTTATAATCATTCATGTTTACTGGATCAGGATTAAGGATAGGGACGGATAAAATTCACATGCACAAAAGCCATTTTTAGCCAGTGAAATGGCTTAGAAATCATAAAATTTACTACAGAAATTTCTATGAATTTTTAGGATTTGTCTAATTTCATGACTTTTTTTTACGTTTGGAAGATGCTACTACTTGTTTCACTTCTGTTTCAGTTTTTCATAACCATTTCTTACTATGTGTCAGTAAGTTGTTGTTATTTTAGCATGTGTGTTTGGCTCAGTGTTATTTTTTTAGGATTACTGATAAACTAATGTACTTTGATTTGTATTAGTTATCTATTTTAGTTTGTTACAGTTGTAGTAACGTTGTCATTTTATGAGTTTTTTATTATGTCTATATAGGCTTTTTATTAAGTTTTAGTTGTATTTAATTTGAGTTATTTCAGTCCTTCAACATACAAAATGGAAATGAAATAATATATATATATATATATATTGAATGTATTTATATATATACATGTATATGTATATGTGTGTGGCTGTACATACACATATGTAGTTGTTTTTTGGTGTTTGGCTTAGTGTTATGTTAGAATCATTATTATACCTTTTGTTATTTTAATATTTTGAATTGTTTTTAGCTTTATTTTTTTTGTTTTCATTTAAATGTTTAGTGTTGAAATGTTGTACGCATTTGTCATTTTTATTAAATTTCTTTTATTTTCTTAAATGTGTGTATATACAGTGGGGAAAAAAAGTATTTAGTCAGCCACCAATTGTGCAAGTTCTCCCACTTAAAAAGATGAGAGAGGCCTGTTTATAGAGTTTTAGCTTTTAGTTTTAAAGGGGTCATATGATGCGATTTCAAGTTTTGCTTTCTCTTTGGAGTGGTACAAGCTGATTGTGCATAGATAAGATCCCTGAAGTTGCAAAGACTAAAGTCTCAAACCCAAAGAGATATTCTTTATCAAAGTTAAGACTCTGCCACGCCCCCCTAAAACGGTTCGTTCTAACACGCCCCCACATATCTACCTCACTATGTGGGAATATTTGCGTAATGCGCCCAAATGTGCAGCAGAGAAAGAAGGCGTGGTTTCAGTAACCGCAGTTAGTGTTGAAGCAGCCAGTTTTGTTATTAGTTTAAGTATTTGCTATTGACTGGAGTGTGCACGCATGTGTGTGTGTGTGAGAGAGAGAGAGAGAGAGAGAGAGAGACAGGGTCACAATACACAAAATAATGATCTTTAAAAAAGCATCATATGACCCCTTTAATTACTTTTTCTTACTTGTAAGTCGCTTTGGATAAAAGCGTCTGCTAAATGACTAAAAGTAAAAAGTAAAGTAAAAGTAAGATGCAATGTAAAAATGTCCTCATACTTTCAGGTTTTCCATGACAATGTAACCCTGCTACATTCAAATATCTGTTGTCACGATTTGTTACAGCAAGTTTCACATCAATGATAATCATATGAAAACTGTGACTTCATTACTTGTTTGACCCGTTTTCTCACACCTTACTTTAATTTAATTACAAACCCATCCAGTTTTAGCATAACAGTCTAAAGCTCCTTCTGTTCTTCACACAAAACTATAATATGACTTCAGGAGTGCTGACTACTTTCTGTCATTTTGAGCACTACAGCTCCAGTCTCCATCCACTCTGACTGTATCAAAGAATAGAGATCATTCTAAAAGCGTGTCTTCGGTGTTCGAATATTTGAATGAGTGTTCCAGGGAATGAAGTCGTGCAGGTTTGGAGCAACATGGAAATGAGTAAACGATGTCAGAATTGTATTTCCTTCGGGGAACTACTCCTTTAAACACAGCGACCAGGTTTCTCTTGTCAGGAAATCAGTTCATGTTTAATAAACCCTTTTACACTGCTGTTAACGCGACGCGACGCTAGCTGGTGTAATGTTTGGTGTGTTATGCGTCCATCATAAACACAAACCTCTTTCTTAAGGGACTGAATCGATTTCAACACATCAACATGAAGCAAAAGCAACAGCGGAGGCGAGAATCACTCACGATAACACGGGGATTGGCGTCCATACAATACAGTAGGGATAGCGGCTAATGCTCGGGTCTATCCTCTCGAACGCTATGTTATAATTCTTCATGGTCTCTATTTCGACAGCATCCGCCATCACCAGCTGTGAGAAATGAACTTCATTCGTTCCGCTTCCTGGATCTGCAGCGCGAGGGCGACGCGAGGGCGACGCGAGCGGCGCGTTTCCGGGGTCCCTGGCCACTGCAGACCACACACACTTTATCGATGGGAAATATCAAGCTATAAAAATGAGAGTAATTACCATTGTGAGAGGACATGTTTGACACCAATATATGGGTATAAAAGTAATTTAGCATTTTAATGTTTCATTTTTAGTTTGTACGAGAGGATCTGGGAATGACATAACATGAACACGCTTGCTTGCTTGCTTGTATATACATAAATTAAAAGAATGACCACATGTAGGCAATCAAAAGAAGATCAGTTTAAAATTCATACTGTTGCCACATTATGAGCTACAATTTAGAACATGTTTCCCGTAAATGAATGGGCTAAATCAAAAATAAAATGTAACATTTGTTTTATTTTGTGAATAAAAATATTGCATAGTAATAATAATAATGTTACTGCTTTAATAATAATAATTATTATTATTAATAATATTGTTAAAACCGTGTTTATGCAGAAAAAGGTAATAAACTAATGCATGAATAAATGTACTTTAAAGGAATGGTCCACCCAAAAATTAAAATTTGCTGAATCCAATTCTTCATGGGAACAGATTTTGAGTGACAGAACTGACGGAGGTGACACATCTGACAGAGGCGACAGAACTGACGGAGGTGACACATCTGAAGGAGGTGACAGAACTGACGGAGGTGACACATCTGACGGAGGTGACAGAACTGACGGAGTTGACACAACTGACGGAGGTGACAGATCTGACGGAGGTGACACATCTGAAGGAGGTGACAGAACTGACGGAGGTGACACATCTGACGGAGGTGACAGAACTGACGGAG